GTAGGTTTATCCTATATTATTTGTCTATATGAGTGAGCATATACCAGGTGCTTCTTTCTGCTTCTGGGATAGCTCACTCAGGATGATATTTTCCAGATCCCATCGTTTACCTGCAAATTTTATTATTTCCTTGGTTTTTATTGCTGACTAATATTCCATTGTGTAGATGTACCACAATTTCTGTATCCATTCCTCAGTTGAGGGGCATCTGGGCTGTTTCCATCTTCTGGGTATTACAAATAAGGCTGCTACAAACATGGTTGAGCAAATGTCCTTATTGTGTACTTGAGCCTCTTTTGGGTATATGCTTACGAATGCTATAGCTGGATCTTGAAGAAGCTCTATTCCTAGTGGTCTGAGGAAGCACCAGATTGCTTTCCAGAGTGGTTGTACAAGTTTACATTCCCACCAGCAGTGGAAGAGGGTTTCCCTTTCTCCATAACTTCTCCAGCATGTATTGTCACTTGAGTTTTTGATCTTAGCCATTCTGATGGGTGTAAGGTGAAATCTCAGGGTTGTTTTGATTTGCATTTCCCTAATGGCTAATGAGGTTGAGCATTTCTTTAAATGCTTCTCTGCCATTCGATATTCCTCTACAGAGAGTTCTCTGTTTAGCTCTGTTCCCCATTTTTTAATTGGATTACTTGGTTTGCTGCTTTTCAGCTTCTTTAGTTCTTTATATATACTGGATATGAGTCCTCTGTCAGATAAAGGGTTGGTGAAGATTCTTTCCCAATCTGTAGGCAGTCGCTTTGTTTTGATGACAGTGTCCTTTGCTTTACAGAAGCTTTTCAGTTTCATGAGGTCCCATTTATTGATTGTTGCTCTTAGAGCCTGTGCTGTTGGTGTTCTCTTCAGGGAGTTGTGTCCTGTGCCAATGAGTTAAAGGCTCTTCCCCACTTTTTCTTCTAAGTGGTTTAGTTTGTCTGGTTTTATATTGAGGTCTTTGATCCACTTGAACTTTAGTTTTTTTGCAGGGTGATAAGTATGGATCTATTTGCAATTTCTACATGTAGACATCCAGTTAGACCAGCACCATTTGTTAAAGATACTGTATTTTTTTCATTGAATTGTTTTGGCATCTTTGTCGAAAATCAGGTGTCAATAAGTGTGTGGATTTATGTCAGGGTCTTCGATTCTTTTAAAAGGGGAAAAATAAAGTAAAATCTGTTTCATTAATGAAGACCTCCCAATCCTTTTAGCTAATTAAAAAATTTTTTGAAAACTTCAAATTTCATTGAGGACCTTTTACTCTTTTTCACATAACTTGGACCACTTCCCTAAAGATCTTAATGGAAAAAAAAAAAAACTGTACAGTAAAGCATTGGAATTGAAGTTCCTGCTGTCAGTCCAACTCAAAAAAAAAAAAACACAATGGACTTAGTTTGCAGTGCTTTATTGAACATTTACAAAGCACAGAGTTTAGCAGCAAGCACATATAGGCATCTGAGCTTCCCTGTGGCTAATGCCTTAGCACCTTAGAGGGGAACAGACCCTGGCTTATAACAGTATATAGACACTGGCAGAGCAAGTCCTGCTGTAGGATGAGAACACCATGACCCTGACCTCTGCTTTGGGAATCAGATATGGCTGTGGTGATTCTCTTTACCAAGTGAGCCTTTAGAAATTTTCTCAGAGTGGTTCTTCCTGTCTCTGGACTGGTTCAGGGATCCAGAGAGTAACAGCAAAGAGATAAAGGCATACTGCTTGCCCTTATTACATCTTGGGACACAAATCTTATACCACATTCATCTGAGAAATTTGCACCAATACTCAAAATTGGCAATATGCATCATTTACCCATGCCCTAAACCCACATGTGAACTTAAAATTCCTGGCTTCTGAAAAATGACAGTCAAAAAGATAAGGGCAAGTTGCTGTGATTTAATAGTAAATAAAATGGTATTAGGCTAATAATGGTTATTATTTTTGCCCTACAGTTATTATGGAGTTATTATCTAACCCACTATCATAATCAATAAAGACACAGACATGTATTAGACTTTAGATTTGCCTTATTTCACCTCGGGCTGGGCAGATAATTCCACCTACACTATCTTATCATCTCCCAGCCCCCATCCCATGCCATCTCCCATCCACAGTTTTATGAATACTTGCTTACATTTTTACCTGAGCTGATCCTTTCCATGCCATTCTCAGAGTCTTTCCTTCTGGCCCAAATGGTTCCTCTTTTATCCCACCACAACTCTGCTTTTTTCTTTCTTCTTTTTCTTCTCTTCTTCCCCAAATTCTCTCCTGTCCCCAAAGCTCTGGAACCTTAGCCATGCCTAAGGATTGCCCTGCCCTGGTGTGTTGGCTTTTTCTTGGTCAAGCAGGAATAAGTTTTAAGGCAAGGTTACAAACATCATTTTGGGGTACTTGAATGTCTGCTCCTTTGGGCAGCAACCAGGTGTTGGGCACTGATAATTAGCATCAGAATACATATCACCAGACCAACCCCCAACATAGACCAAAAAAAAAAAAAAGTAAAGTGATTTGT